TTAACACACACACACACACACACACACACACACACACACACACACGAAAGCCAAGGGGGATTATTGCAAGGATGAAGTTAGCCAAAGCAAGGCACAGTGAAAAATGCCACAACAAAGACAATATTATATACCCTGACCAAAAATGTTAACTGAGAAAGTGAATAAAAACATAGCTAAAAGTTAAGAAAATAAAATATTTGAGGAAGCACTAAATCAGTTTTCTCCACATGAAGTGGCCAAAGGATAAGAGTCAGCCTGTTGCGAGACTCCACATTGTGTTAACAAATAGTTCAAATAGTCTGTGTGGAAAGAGACAAAAACTGGAGTGTATTTGAAGCAGCCGACTGCGCTGGGCCAGGAGAGCACTCAATCTGTTCATTCAGGAGACCTGAAGCTTAACCCCTGTGGTAAGCTACAAGTAGTTGATAGGTTTTTTAAGCTGTAGCTAGTACGTCTCGCTGCAGCTCTGTCTGCATACACATGTGCTCTGATCACACTTTGGTTAGGTTCTAGAACCCACTGTATTTCCAGGAAGAGACCTGTTATAACATGTTTGTCTTTCAAGTTTTGTTTTGGTGCCATAACTTCTGCTTGACATTATTGGCTTAAAGGGTTTTGCTTTTTTTTTTTTTTTTACAATGTTAGTAATGATTCAGTGAACATATTTCAAAACCTGAAACTAAATTGCTAACAGACTGGAAATATTATTTCCTCTTTTGTAATCAAACATGAGTAAATCAGCCCAGTAACAAGCTTTTTTTTTTTAATTGGAAAAAAAAGCTAGCCATTTGTATTTATACATTCTACACACACTAATTCAACAAAATCACAAATAAAAAAAATGATTTTTAAAATTATCATTGGGTCTGTGAGATTTCTCAGTGGGTAAAGGTGTCTGTCGACAAGCCTGATGCCTGAGTTCAATCCCTGGAGCCCAGATAGTGGAAGGAGAGAATCCACTCCTGAAAATCACCCTCTGACCTCCACACAGGTATTATGGTATGTGTATACCCACTCACCCACACATAAATACTAAATAAATAACTTTAAAACATTTAAAAACCTATAATTACATGTGATATGAACATGTACAATTTTTTTTTAGTCAGTATTTCTTGAACAGCACAGTACAGAACACCTTTTACACAGTTTCTCCATTGTGTTATATACTTTATCTGGAATTTTATATTTTAAATGAGGAAGCCTGTAACGAGGATGATAACATTCTGTGTAAGGGGCTTGACCAAGCACAGACTCTGCTATCCGCCAGAGGCCTGGAACCAAAACACACAAGTAACAGGGGCAGACTAAGCTTACAAAATAATCTAACCTTTCAGAGGAAAATGAGATCATATTTTAATGAGAACCACAGTTTTAATCATGCAGCAAGCAAAAGACCATATTTAATGCTGATAGTACTCCTGTGAGCTCCAGTTTGCTTCCTAGTGAACCTTCATCTGTTGTGTAAGACAGAGGGTATTTTATTCCAGCTCTCTAGAGCTCCAAGGCTGTCTGCTTTGTTTGTGGCAGAGCTGCGGGAGCAGTAACATAGAACATAGCACAAGAGAACTGGATATGCAGGTTAAAATGGCTGCCTTAACACTTCCTGAGAGATGATAGCTGTAGCTTTGGTAAAGTGTGTAGAGGAAATGTTTTGGTTTAGACATGTAGTCTACACTGTTTTTACAACTATGAGGGGAAAAGTCACCAATTTCATATTTGCCCTCATGGCCAGAAGGACAGAGCCTATCTCCAATGATTAAGGTCTGGCACTTCACCTGCAAATCTAAGATGTTCCTATTTTATTTGGGGGGAGTTTTATGGCTCCTTTTTTAATGATTGGGTTTCAAAACTGGCTTCTTATTGTAGAAACTAGCTATGATCTGAAGTTCTGTCCTCCCTTAACCAAAGTCACAATTCTTTACAAATTCTGGAAGACCTGAGTGTCTGTTATCCATTTGGATTAAACATGTTGCAGTTTCCTATCTGTTACTGTGATTAAAACACCGACAAAAAAGTGTAGAGGAGGAAGGGGTTTCTTTCCATTTCTGTCACAGAGGGAAGTCAGAGCAGCAGGAGCGTGAAGCAGAAATCATGGAGGAACACTGTTTTCTAGCTCACTTGCAGGGCCATGCCTAACTAGTTTTCTTATGCTCCAGGACCAAATGCCTAGGGGATGGTGCCACCCACAGTTGGGCTGGGCCCTTCTACAACAACAAACAACCAAGAAAATCCCCTACAGACATGCCCATAGGCCAATGTGATCTGGGCAATCCTCCCAGTTAGGACTCTCATCTGAGATGAATCTAGACCTTTTCACATTGGCAGTTAATTCTCTGGGTGACAGTCTTCGACAGCGAAGGGCTGAAACTAGCACTTGTTTCCTGGGGACTTACACAAGGGCATCAGGGCTGTGTTTCCCAGGGTCTGCCCCGGCCTGTGTGGACTCAGCACTGAGGCTGAGGCTGGAACAGGTGGAATACAGTCTCCAAGTTGTCTGCATGGTGTTCCACTGTACTCTACATCTCACACCGCCTCTCTACAACATGCCTGGCTCTTGTAGAATTTCCTCATAAACTTGGGGGCTGGTCTCATCTGTCAGTCTTGCAACAAGACCAAGCTAATGGTCAGAAAAGGTAGTTTGGGATGGAGACAAGATATTTGGTTTAAACATGGGCAAATACCAACACTGATTAAAGAGATCAAGTAGTATAGACAGTAATAACTTGGCAATAAGGCAGAAGAAACGTTAGCATCAGTAAGAAATTCAAAACATTGGGAGGAGAGGGGTACTGTAGTGATCATTCCAACTTTCACGTGCATAATTCCAAGCCTAATACTGTTGGCTTGTATATGTGTGTGTTTGTGTCTGTCTGTGTATAAAACAGACACTTAGGTGTATATATTGTAAGGAAAATACATGAACAAATACGTGTAAAAATCATTAGAGTAAAACTCAACACAATTAACCTCCAAATTAATGGGAAAGGAATGAAAAGGGGAAAATAGTACATGAATAAATACCAAAAAGATATAAAAACAAAGCATAAACTGGTGAAAGGAGGAGGATGAATAGTCAGTACTAGGCATTTGCTTCTTTGCATCTTTCTCCTCAAAAGAAAAAACTTCTAGTTTTGTTGACTCCCCTCAATTAATGCATGGAATTTATTTCATTGATTTCTGATAGTATTTATGGTATTTCATATTTTCTAACTTATTTTCCCCTAGGCTAAGTCATGTGCTCAGCCCCAGGAAACCATTCCATCTTTTCTAGTGTAATTGGGAAGAAGCGAACATTTCCCTTGAACTCCTCTACAGAAGTCCCTAGCATTTGTTGGCGATGCAGCACATGAGATGTGTGAACAGACACGTTGGTATATATATTCAGATTGCTGTCCTACGATCAAATAGAACTCTACTGTGACGGGCCACACATTCGTCTTTGCCTTGGCTGTCATTCAGAACACATGAATGACTGACAACAATGGTCTATTTTTCACTCCTGCTGCCTTCCCCTGAGAGTTCCGTAATTCTCACATTCTCAATTTGAGGGTCACAGGACAGAGGTGTCATAAGACAGTTTCCCACAGGGAGCCAGATGCTGCTGCAATCAACGGCATTTCTGTGGGCGCTTCACCCTTCCCACAAAGACTCCATGGAAACAGCTGACAGAGACCCATTTAGATGGCCCCTTCAACATGGCTCCTATTTTTCTTGCTTTAGCCATTAGAACATGAATGAACCTGTAGCAAATAAAACTTAATTTATTCAGATTAGATTCTGTCAGATGGAATCCATTTAAGATTCGCCGGCTATTCCTAAAATGGAGATAAAGAGGGAAGGGAGGCATCAGAATGGAGGAGGACTTCAGGAGTGAAGCAGTCCGTGACTTCCCGACCCGCTGATTCATCTAAATGTCTCAAGTCTTCTTACTGATGCTGTCGAGGATTGTCATCGAGAGCCTGTGGACCATGACGTTAATGTAGGCTGTGCCTATCACAGCTGTTTTCTGTTTTCTCCCTGCATCCACCAAAAGAGACCACAGTCTGGTACAAGTCATCGATCCATCACCATGTGACCAAGCTCCCTTTCTCTACTGGGAAAAGGAGAACGCTGACAAGAGGCTTCAGGGCCGCAACTGGGAGGAAAGTAGTGAATGAGAAGAGGGAAGAGTCCAAAGGCAAAATGTCGGCCTGTTAGTTGGCCTCAGCCTGAGCACTCCTTCCCCCTCAGCTCCATGCCAGCTCCCCCACTCTCACTGTACCTAGCCCTCCCGTTAGCTTATGCAGTTAAGTGTAACATGCCCTTTCACCTCACAGGTAACATCCGATGGTGCCCTCAAATTCTCCTAACAGCGTAGACAGCTGTAACAACCGGCTCTGGTGCTTTGCATGTGACTGTCAACCATCTTAATCCCCAAGATCTGCTTGCTGTCTTTACAAGCATCCACTCACCCGCCCCAAGCGTTGCTGTGCAACCTTGCCTCCCTGATTGGCTGGAGAAAAGGCCTACACATGGGCAGGGCAGAGTGAGGAACGGACCTAAGGTCTGTGCGCTTTGGAGACAGAAAGACAGAGAAGGAAAAAGGAAGGGGCAGAGGGAGAGCCACCGTGGGATCAGTAAAGAATCATGTGGGCTGGCAGAGGTGAGAACGGCATGAAGCGAAGCAGCATGGAGGTGAAGAGCGTGGCCAAATGTTTATGGAGATACTGCATGGGAAATACAGACAGGAATAATTAAAGCAAATGTCATGGGATGTTTGGCTGAGAGATAACAAGGTAATAGTTTGCCCAGTCCCAGGTAAAATAAGGCTTGTTTAAATACAACAGGTATCTGTGTCTTTTATTTGATCTGGTATTGGCTTAATAATAACCACTGTAATAATCATAGGCTTTTAATAATAAAAATTATTAGCTATTTTTATTTATTTTTTACAACAGAAAGCTTTTAAAATTTTTTCTATTTATTCTTCTCTCATATATAACATCCCAACTGCAGTTTCCTCTCCTTCCCCTCCCCCATCCTCTCTCCCCACTTCTATATTTCCTTGGGTCCACCCTCCCCTTCACCTCCCCTCAGAAAAGATCAGGCCTTCCCAGGACATCATCTAAATATGGAGTAAGAAGCTACAATATTCTCACATCGAGGCTGGAGAGGCAACCCAGTAGGAGGAAGGGTTCCAAAGGCAGGCAAAGAGTCAGAGACAGCCCCTGCTCCCCCCATTAGGGACACCAAGATACACAACCATTATCATGTATAAACCTAGGTCAGACCCCACAGGGTCTCTGATCTCCGTGAGCACACTTGAGTCTCAATCAGTCAATTCTGTGGGCCATGACCTTGTGCAAAGCCTCCTCAGTCGCTAGCACACATGTGGCATGTACACACATACAAGTTCCAGCATGGATTTGGAAAGGGCCTCCTGAGGCCCCACCCGCAGCTGAGGAGCTGTGATTAGCAGTTGGGGCAGGAGCGTGAGCACTGGTGGGTCCCCACGGGCTGTGGTTACTCCCTGGCAGGCCCACACGCCAGTGGGAGAACTCACCCACACTGCTACATGTCTGCGACAGTGAGTGGACTCTGGAGCTTAAAAATAAATATAAAATAAGGACATAAAGTTGGGGAAAAGATGTGATGGGCAGGGTGGGAATAACTGGGGAGGAAGAGCGGGGGTGGTTGTGAACAAGATCATTGTATACATATATGAATTTTTCAGAGAACATGACTGCCTAAACACGAGCTGAACAAAGAAAACACCAGCAGAAATGCGAACATGAATAAGAGAAAAAGCATGAGACCTCGGCCATTCACATAGAACGAAAGTAAGGAATGCTGAGGGAATGAGAAGGAGACTTTCCCAGTGAAGGCCGCCCTAACTGGTCATCCAATACCAAACGGCTATCCCCCAAAACACACATATATGTGAGTAGCATTAAATAGGCTGAGAAGGTTTGTATGTACTTATTTATGTATTTAGGAATATATATGTATACACATATATGTGTATAACAACAATTAATGAATTTGCAAGAGAGCAAGGAGAAGTTTATGGGAGGGCTGAAGGAAGTGAATGTGGTGTGATTAAATCATAATCTCAAACAATAAGAGGTAATTTTTTGAAGCTATATGTTAACAACATTATGAAGGAATTAATAAGTGAATAGTATAGTTATTGTTCCTAGACCTAATAAATAAAAGTTTCTAGGAAAAAATATTAACAACAAGGTATTGGGTTGTGCACAATGCTGTTTGCGGTTATGGTGAAAAAGTATTTCTCTCTCTCCGTGTGTGTGTGTGTGCGTGTGTGTGTGTACTCAGGACTTTCTATTATGACTTTCTACCTCGTCACTAGGCAGGTCCATGCCCCCACGAAAACAACTCCCAGAGAACTTGGTAAATAGCGTTAACTAACTTTCCTAGGAGGAGCTGGAAACAGACCTAGAATCATGGTGCGATCAGAAGCCACGGCCCCCTCCCAGCTGCCCGGACGTCACGTTACCAACCAGCGCCGCTGCTGGGCATCTGCCTATTCGTATTCCGCTGCGAACCACATGTGCTCCAAAGCTGCCGGACTTTAACCAGTGTTTTACCCGAACTGCTTCAGCATGGCCACAGACTCTGACAATACCTTTCCCTGGCGTTTCTTTCCTGAGACATCACCAAGGTAATCTTGTTTCTTTTTAAAGTTGACTGAATAAACGTATAAGTACTAGGTAGACTGAGTTGTTTCTTGCTGCAACAAAATCCCCAGCCTAAGCAAACTGCAAATGAAGGCAGTCAACTCTTGCTTGCCCTTCCAGGGCATCGCTCCACCAAGACGGAGATGTCACAGCAGCAGGCGCAGAGAACCACTGCCAGTCGGGGAGGCATGAAGCAGGGTAGAGAGTCTCAGGCCCTCACTCAGGGAGCGGAGTGAACACAAACAGGGACTCAGGAGCACGCATGGGTACACACATCCCCGTGCCCCCAAAGCACACACGCCAGTGTGACCCACTCCTAAGGAGCACATTCGTACACACCCCCCACATCGTCCAAGAGCATTACGTCACTACTGTGAAACCATCTTAGGGTGCAAAGAAAAAAAACAAGGGTGGTGCTAGTGTAAGATTAAACGGTGGCGGGCAGACATCTTCGCACCACCAGGGTCTGAGTGCGCGTGCATGCCCGTGTGTGCGCGTAAGGTTATGGCTCTGGCAGAGTCTTTTATAAATATTCTTATCAGCAATGCATATTGAAATCACTTCCTTTATTCCCTTATTTTTCATTGATTCGCTGTTTCCTCATTTGGGGGCTTGCCAACCGACTCCATTTTGATTCTGACAAGCTTCAGAGTCTTGCAAATCAAAGAACCTCCAGCCAGCAGAAAAGCGTGTGCTGGAAGGCCTGTGTTTCAGAATCCCCAGGGAGATCACAGGAGTCAGGCAAAGCACGGGGAAGCAGCCGAAGGGGGCACAGCTCTGCGCTTTGCAGTCCCCTCGGGCCTCGGCGCTGGTCTGCTGGAAAGGAGATCTGGTGCTGTGCTGGGATCTACCGACAACCGGAGAGCTGAAATGTCTCAAGACATCCCCAAATTCAGAGGATGCCCGCCCCAAGCACTTGAGAAAGGAAGCAGGAAAAGGACAAGTTGCAACAGCCACTGCACTTCCTTCATGCCTCCGTCTGGGGACCAGCAGAAAGCAGCTTGCCTGGGAGAAGAGCCCTGGCAGAGGGAGACGCTTGCCTCAGCCCAGACGCACACAGAGGTAACCTTATTGCTTGCTCTCTCTTTCCACTGCAGGCGTGAACACGGCTTCTCACTTCCCTTCAGTGTTACTGGATGCACACTCCTAGGAGTGCTTTGTGCCTTCTCCTGCCTCTCCCTAGGCTGTAGACAGTTCTTAGGCCTTAAGGTCAGAATTCTAAAAAAATAAAAAACAAAAACCAAAAACCACTCGGGGTGTTCTAGAGGCCTTTTGGATGGTATAGGATACTTCTTGGTTCTGACTCAAATTTGCCCTAGCCAGCAGTGATTATCAATAGACAGCAGAGAGGCCTGGGTCTGCTCCTGGGAGGAGTTCCAAGAAGCTGCCCTGGCCTCCCCACTCCGCCTGGAATGCGGTGTGCTGCCACTTCTGGGTTTAGGCTCTGGGAAGAAAACAAGAGGGTCAGAGGCCTCGGGTTGTGTGTTGACGAAGCCTTTCTGAAGCCTCTTCTGAATGGGGGTCTGGAGGCAGCTTCATCTGGCCTCTGCTTTAGGAAGGACGCCTGAGTTCTCTATCTCCAGGCAGTCCTTCAGCCCAGCCGGAGAACAGTCAGCTGCTGGCGACTCACCCTCCCTCACATCCTGGACCTTTCAAATGGTCGGTTCTGGGTCTGAAACCCTTCCCTGAAATGATGTGTTTTGTTCTAGGGCGCTCAGTCTGTACGTGTGGCTTTGCACTTCCTCAGAAAGGGATAGCTTTCCCCAGCTTTTCTGCAGAAGGATTTATCGGGGGGGGGGGTACCATGGGCTCTGTGAATTCCAGAGGTCACAAGGCAGAAGCACAGGTGGTCATGATGGGCCTCGACTCCGCCGGCAAGACCACCATCCTGTACAAACTGAAAGGAAACCCACTGGTGGAGACCCTACCCACTGTTGGTTTCAATGTAGAGCCTCTTGAGGTTCCTGGACATGTGCCACTGATTCTCTGGGACATTGGGGGACAAACCCAGCTCAGGGCTACCTGGAAGAACTACCTGGAAGGCACGGACATCCTCGTGTATGTGCTAGACAGCACAGATGAAGCCCGCTTGCCTGAGGCAGTGGCTGAGCTCACAGAAGTCTTGGAAGACCCCAACATGGCCAGCATCCCTTTCCTGGTACTGGCCAACAAGCAGGAGGTGCCCAATGCTCTACCGTTGCTTGAAATCAGAAATAGGCTGGGCCTGGAGAGGTTCCAAGACCGTTCCTGGGAGCTCCACGCCTGCAGTGCTCTCACGGGCCAGGGGCTGCAGGAAGCCCTACAGAGCTTGTTGCACTTGCCGCGATCCTGCTGAAATGCAGGATCTGTGACTGCGGGCAGGAGCAGGCAGAAAGGCTTACCCCTGCTGCTATGAACAGCAAGAGCCAACCGATCCTCGGGAAAGTGAAGCTCAAGTTACCACACTAGAAATCATTCTTCTCTTGGACAGAATATTTTCTTCTCAGGACTTATGGCAGTTATGCTGAAAACCAACTGTTCTTCAAGGGAATATAATTATCCTCAAATATACTTCATGTAGCAAGGCCATACCAAGCAACAACGTAACAAAGTTGGTGACATAATAATTGAGAATCAAATGTACAAACTAAAAGAGGTTTTAAAACTGTATCTGAGGGTCACCTGGACCTACTGCTGTCACCAGGAGCGATTCTCCTGCTGGCTTTTGGACAGGAGCCAGTATCACTCTCACAGTATCTGAGCTGGCAGCAGAGAGGGGCTGGTCTGCTCCCACAATGTTACAGAAGTCCACAGGGCCCTGGAGCCTTCTAGAATTTATCCTGCTCTCCAATTCTGTCCAACTCTTCCCTGCCCTACATCCATCTCATGTTGTAAAGATAAATAAATAAGCTAGCACTCCAAGTGGTAGTTTGTCTTTTGTAGCATACATCTTTTCTTAAAGATTAGAAAACCATGCCTGGAAGATGGCTTAGCAGGTAATGCAGATGGCTGCTGAGTCTAAAGACCTGGGTCTGATCCCCAGAGGGAACTGATTCCTGCAAATTGTCCTTTACCTCCACAATGTGCTGTGGTATACATGTTGCGTGTGTGTGTGTGTGTGTGTGTGTGTGTGTGTGTGTGTGTGAGAGAGAGAGAGAGAGAGATACTAGGGCAAGCATGTATCTCTCACCCCAAATGAATAAATATATTTTTAAATGTCTTCAACAGATCAACTTGGGATACAGCTCAGTGCCTGGAATGCACGTGGTTTCGGCTTTTATCTCCAGCATTGGACTGGGGGTGCAGGAACTGTAAAGATCATTGGTACCTGTCTATAATCCCAATGTGTGGGAGTCAGAGATGTGAGGAATACCATGAGTTGAAGTCCAGCAGGAGCTGCAAATAAAAGAACAAAAAGGAGGAGGAGGAGAAAATAGATTAGAAGAGTTGATTTTGATGAAAAACATGTAGAGAGTAAGATTAAATCACATGTGTGTCTCTGTGAGAGTATATCACGTGTGTCTCTGTGAGGGTATCAAATCCCCTGGGACTGGAGTTAACAGACAGTTGTAAGCTACCATGTGGGTGATGGGAATTGAACCCAGGTCTTTTGGAAGAGCAGCCAGTGCTCTAAATGGCTGAGCCTCCTCTTCTATCCAGTCTTAAAACTGATAGTAACTTCAGCCACACATTATTCTCTCTCTCTCTCTCTCTCTGTGTGTGTGTGTGTGTGTGTGTGTGTGAAAAACAAAAATAAACCATTCTCTTTTGTGGAGGCCACACAGCACTGTGGAAAAGACAGTTGAAGCTCTGTGAGTTCCAGGTCAGCCTGGTCTAGAGAGTGAGGCCCTGAGAAAGAAACAGAGGGGGGTGAAAAAGAAATCAAGGAAGAAAGAAGGAAGGAAGAAGGTCAGAAAGATGGCTTGGTGGTTAGAAACACTGGCTGCTCTTCCAGAGGATCCCTGTTCAATTCCCAGCACCTATATGGCAGCTCACAACTTCCTGTAACTCCAGTTCCAGGGAATCTGACACTCTCACACAAACATACATGCAGGCAAAACACCAATGCATTTAAAATAAAAATAAATAATTTTTTTAAAGAAAGAAAGAATGAGAAAGAGAAATGGAAAAAGAAGGATTGATGAAGGAAGAAAGTGAAGAAACAGGACCCGACCAGCAAATAACTGTTCCCTATGGGTTACGGGTTGTAGGTGAGTTGTGATCTGAGGATCCTGGTGACAGCAACAATTCTGTTTCACTACCACAGGGGGACAGGAGGGACAGATTGGGTGTTGCTGCGATGTGTATTATAAAGGCACATTTGTGCGCCATATTGTGAAAAGGAGCCCGGTGTGTGCGTGTTATTAATAGCGTGGCATCTACAAGTTAGAAACGGTTTCTTGTTCTGAGTTAGCCCTCCCAGGCCAAATGCTCCTGAAGGAGTACAAGTTAGATACTGGCAGAAGAGAAGTAGGGTCAACATTTTAGGAAGTGGCAGGGCCCAGGCATTACAAAATGGGGGAAGGGTACAAGGAATGGCAAGAGATACAAAAAGTCTCAGAGATGCTGGCCACCAGACCAGACAGGCAAAACAGACCTCTGGAGTGACTGACTGACGACCTGTCTTTACCCACCTCGCCATCCCCTAACCATAAAGACTGTTGGTAGAGGGATGGTGAAAAGCAGATTTTAGGGTGTTAAACAGCTTCCTTGTCTCTCTGAATAAAGTACTAATTGGCCTTTGTGGTGAGGGATCCACGAAGCTCCACATCTTGCTTGCAAAATGTTTCAGATCATTTTTCTACAGTGTAGGATCTCATGAGTTTTGATCAAACTCTGCAAGACATGAGTGATTCCCAAAAGCTCAGTCCTATTGCAGAACACCGGAGTCCTGAGCTTTTCCACAACAAATAGCTCACATGCAGCCCTCGGGTGAGGAGACAGCCTTGTGTCCCATCCTGCTAACAGTCTACAGCTCCTGGGGTGGCACTGGTAAGACAGGCCCCAGAGCAAGCAATGTCAAAAGCATAAACAAACACATTTGTGGTTTTTTGCAATCTCAGAATTTACCGAGGAAGTTCATAACTGACTGCATCTGTTTCATTGGCTGTAATTTGCCAAGTAGTCCTGATTGCCCTTAATAGCTAATGGCTATTGGCAAACACAGATTCTTCTATGTTTTTTTAAATGTGCATTGATGTCTTGTCTGCATGTGTGTCTGTGTGAGGTTGTCAAATACGCTAGAGCTAGAGTTAACGGACAGTTGTGAGCTACTGGGAATTGAACCCAGGTCTTCCAGAAGAGCAGCCAGCGCTCCTAATGGCTGAGCCTCCTCTTCTATCCAGTCTTAAAGATTGACATTAATTTCAGCCACACATTATATTCTTATGTGCGCACACACACATAACAGCACTGCTACAAAAAGGCTGAAGATGCCTCCAAGAGAAAGCAGAGGCAGAGAGCTGACAAGACAAAAAGAGCCACAGTAGGCTGTTAGGTAAGATATTAAGGCATCCGGGTATGAAGGTTCGAGGTGAGGCACAGGACCTTCAGGCCAGACAACAGTTGGACTGGACTGATGAACTAAGCCCCGAGGAAGCATGTGGAGCTGAAGCGCCAGGCTGGCTGATGTCCTCTGTCTGTCGGTCCTCAGTTTTGTAGCACTCACCCTTCCTTGGTCTGATATGTGCAGCAAGTTCTTGGGTCTGGTTTTTCTGAAAAGGTTTAAATCTCTCCATGTACTCATATGGTTTCAATTTTCATTTTGCCTGTTCGAGACAGAATCTCACTATGCAGCCATCACTGGCATGGAATTCACCGTGTAAATGAGGCTAGCCTTGAACTCTGCCTGCCTCTGCCTCATGAGTGCTGAAATTAAAGGCCACCACAACCAACCCAGATGATTTCAATTCACTTTGAGTTTAGAGCCAGTACTTGTCTCTGCATCTGCAATCAAAGTACAGCCTATAGCTGCTTGTAAATGGAGTCACCCAGGGCAAGGCATGGCTAGAAGCCACACAGTGCGAAGTCCCTTAGAGCAGGTTCTGGGTTCAGTACCTAACACTAACACTGTCTTTTTTTTTTTTTAAATGTGGAGAGAGAAGCCAGGTGATGGTGGTGGACATTTTTAATCTCAGCACTTGAGAGGCAGAGGCAGGTGCATCTCTGAGTTCCAGGCCAGCCTGGGCTGCAGAGTGAATTCTAGGACAGTCAGGGCTACACAGACAAACCCTTTCTTAAAAAAAAAAAGTGTGAAGGAGTGGTGGGAGAGGATTGATTCTCTCTGTTGAATATAAGATACTTCACTCTCCTTATCCTTATTTTTCATACAATATTTATTGGCTTGTCATTTTAAGTTCTTTCTTCGTTCCCTTTTATATTTATACGAATCTTTATAAAAAGCAATGTAGGTGAGCATCCATGTAGCTTTGAGCTGTGGGGGTGTAATTAAGGAAGAAGGGGGACGCCCGGTTTCTATGGAGGAGAGGGAGCCTGACTTAGGTTTCAGCTGCAAACCATCCCTGTCCTCAAGATAGAAGTTTGTTTTCCTTTGAGTAAAGTTCTTTAAGGTCACAGTGGTGGTACCCTCATGTGCCTGAGGAGTCCAGGGTGAACTCTGAATGACAAATGGGTTTCATCAGGCTCTTCTTCTGGGGAACTGACATCATTGCCTTGAGGACACTGTCTTCCTGTCCACCACTGCTAACTCTAGGCCTACTGTGAGCCCAGGCCTAGCTGAATGCTTACTCAAACTTAACAAATTGTCTTGCTCAGTGGGAGTCTTACTCCCATTATGCTAACCCTCCCCGCCACCCCCAGCAACAGCGTCTAGATCTGCAAGCTTTTCCTTTCACTCACAAGGGAAAGAAGGGTGCAAGGCCACAGAGTGTCCTAGAGAACCAAGGAAGGTTTAGAAGGGCTCTGTGTTAGGAAGACCAAGCGTGTTCAGTGGGTGATCAGCAAGTTCTAGGAGTTCTAGGAGTTGCCCTGACCTCAGCCAAGGAAGGCATTCACAGGCACTAAGGCCTGACCCTGGATTCTCTTCCTACAGGGCTCATAAATGCAAAACCAGTGACACTCCCCGCCAGCTAGGTACCCCAGGAAGATTGCTTAGCCCATTTCAGCAGCTATTGGCTCATGGGAAGCTAACAGAAGGTTACTGGGAAGGTTCTTGTGAGAACTGAGAAAATATATTCATCTCATTAACCTGTATTCTTTTAAAGATTTTAAAATGTTTCTATGTACATGTCCATGACTGTGTGTGTATACACGTCATGTGTGTGCAGCTGCCCATGGAGACCTAACGAGGGCTTTCAGACCCTCTGGAGCTGGAGTTATAGGCCACTGTGAGCTGCCAGAAGTGGGTGCTGGGAACCAAACTCAAGTCCTCTGTAAGAACAGCACCAGCTCTTAAGTCATGAGCCATCTCTCCAGCTCACCAATTTATATTCCATGAGCATCTATGTACAAATAATCCCGTTACATACAAAGGACATAAGGATGAAGACACTTAAGCATTTAAAATTCTAGCTCTGAATAATTAACTGCTATTACTCGTGTGATATTACAACGCATTAGAAATGAAAAGTAAAGGATCAGTAAGATGGCTCAGTAGGAAGAATTGCTTAGCACCTCAGGCTGAGCTTCAGAAGCCATGGTAGGAAGGTGAGAACAGCAAGAGTGCCAACACTCAGGCGCACACACTGATGACGATGATGAGTATCATCATCATCTGGTAATCCAACCTTTCCTTGTGAATCACCCCCCTCAACCTTGGAACTCTCTAGAACCCAACTTGTTTTAGAATAAATATGATAAGCTGGAGAGCGGCAGGCATCGTGATCTTATGAGGCACACTGTAAGATTTAGGGGTGAGAGAGAAGTGTTAATGCCATACAACTCAAGGTTACAAACATTTCAGCCCTACATAAGCAGAGGGTATTCTGTTTTCTTTTTTAAACATAGTCTCCATGTAGCTCAGGCTAGCCTCAAACTTGATGTGCTGTCAGTCTTTGTCCTTTTTTTTTAGCATCTTTATCTAGGATGTCTTTAGGGACTTACACATTGTCTCTGAAAGTCATTTTTGCTTTCTCCAGTTGAGTGGAAGTTACTAAGCTTTCAGTCAGCCCTGAAAGGTCTGCCTACTAAGACCCTCTTACTT